AATAAGAAATAACAAAAATTTCCTTTCTCCTTGAGTCAGTGAAGGAATAATCAACATCCAATAAATGGAATCCCATTTTCCCCGCAGTCGGTGCTATTCATGACAGAAAGGGGTACTTTATAACCTCAAAAGGAAGAGACTTGCACAAATCATTAAATACCAAAGTCAGCCCCTACTTTGGTTGCCGACATATGAATACTGATTGATGATATACATTCAAACACATGCACGTGCGTTCCCATTCCAAATTGTTAAGGTAGGTACTGATTTTGACCGCTTCATAGTTCGTAGAGTATCTAATTAACGTAGGGATATTATTTGTTTTATTTTTTTTTGATACTTTAAATGATAAATTATGTATTGAAATGGATCTTCTCATTTCTTAATTTTTTTATCATTTGTATCAAGATTTAAATTTAAATTTTTAATTTTTAATCACTTAAAACATCATTATAGGCATAAATAATTAAGAAATTACAAAAACTTCCTGTCTCCTCAATAATCAACATCTAAAAAATGGAATCCCATTTTCCCAACAATTTATGCTTGTCGTGACGAAAAGGGTTAATTACCTAAGAAGAACAAAAAGGAGACTTGGACAATTCATCAATGACCAAAGTCAGCACCACTTGTTAGCCGAGATGTAAGTGGTGATGATATTTGAATGCACTCCAATTCCAAATTACTAAGGCATGTGCGCAGGTTTTGACCACTTCATAAAATATAGAAATATTACTCGTTTTACATTTTTTAAGGATTGTCAGTTCAATCACTCTAGAATGATTGATTAGGTATCAGACTGTTGGGAGTATAAATAATATAAGTAATGACAAGGATGTTAAATTTAGGACGAAAATTTAAGATCAACGATATAATTTATATTATATTATTAAATTAATTAATATATATAATATTATATATCTAAAAAATAAAAAAAATTAATTATTAAATAATATAAAATTTATTTTTTAATATTTTAAATAACATGATTTATATTATATTATTAATCTTATAATTTGATTTCAAATTTTAGTTCTATTTATTATTATTCAAATAATATTAATGTTAGTTGAATGTGGAAATTATGCAGAAATG